ACTCATTTCTGAATGCTTCAATCTTAAAGTATGATCGTTATGTATATCAATTAATTCTTCGGCTTCTGCAAGACTGAACTTACTTATTTCTAATGATGTCTCTACAAAACGATTTCGAATTCAGTTGTGCAAATCAACTGATATGTCAGGGAAATAATGGTTAATTTTTTCTTCTAACGACGTTAAATGACTAAATAAGTTTTTCCAAATCTGTATTGTTATATTTTCTTTTGGCAACTTGAATAAACATTTCTACATTATTTGTGTTTACTTTTATCTTCCACATTTTTATTTTATCTTTAAAAGCTTTAATTTTATCTACAGATGTTAAAATATTTTCATTTCTACCTTGCATGCTTGAGTTTAACTTGCTCAGGTGATCAAATATGTCTGTTAAATAAGCTAGTTTGGAACACCAAGAATCATTTTGTAATAATACACAAAATTCTGGTTTGTTTTCATGTTGAAAAAATATTAATATTTCTTCAAGTTCAAAAACACGATTTAATATGTGGCCTTTCGAAAGCCATCTCATTTCGATATGAAGAAGCAGGTTATTATGATGAGATTGCATCTCATAGTTTTGCAAATATATGTGATTTTAATGGTCTAGCTTTGATATAATTAACCATTTTAATGATTTCTTCTAACACTCTTTTGAGTTCAGGGCCTATTGTCTTTGCTACCAATGATTCATGATGAATGAAGCAGTGAGTTGTTACAATGTTTTCGTTTCCCTTTTTAGCATATGAAACAAATCCTTTTATAGTTCCAATCATTGAAGGGACCCATCTGTGCATACACCCACGCAAGATTTCCAAGATAGACCATTTGTATTAAAATATGTGTTCATGATATCAAAAACATCTTTTCCCGTCGTAGTTTTTTCAAATTCCTTGCAGCATAAAATTCTTCCAAAATTTCATCATTTTCAATAAATCGAGTGAAGACAAGTAATTGTGCTTTACCACTGATATCAGTTGACTCATCCAACTGCAAACTAAATAATTTCGATTCAATTATTTTATTTATAACTGATTTTTCAATATCAATTGATAGTTCACTAATACATCTAGTCATATTGTCATTTGACAAAGGAATCTTTTTTATTTCTCCTTCTGCTTCAGTACCAAGAATTGTTCTCACAATTGCTGTACAGGCTGGGCGAATCAAAGTTTTGCCAATAGTATGAGGCTTCATTTCTCTCGTGATTATTTCTGCAACTAAATAACTAAATAAAAATAACTGGGCTTCTTGAACACGGTCAGCAATTGTATATTTTTTTACAAAACTTTTACTTTGTTTTTCTTGTAATTTTATCAGATCTTTGAAATATTCAAGAGGTTTCTTAGACAAGTGATCATGTTTTGTGGAGAAGTGTGGCAATAGTTTACTGGAAACCATAGCTTCATTTGATAAAACAAAACCACACACAATACATTTTGGTCTGGAAATTAATTTATCACCACACCAGGTAAATCCCATTTTTAGGTAACTGCCTTGATATAAACAAGTTTTTACATTCTTTTTTAATGCAACATTTTTATGAGAACTTGTTGTTTCTGTTTCTTTTGTTTCAATAGTGCTTGTTTGTTGCTTAACGTTAAAAATAGTCAAATCTTCACTAATAGAGCTCTCAATTTTTGATGATTTACTAGTGCTAATTGACTCCTTAGCTTTGCTACCAGTAACCACTTCTTGATCATTAGAATCTTCACGTTTTCTTTTTTTAATGAAAAAATTATTCATGATATTGAATGACATAATTAACTTCAATATTTTATTATAAAATTTAATTACAAGTTAATAATTTATTTTTTCTTGCTGTAAAGAAGAAAAAATATTTGTATATGATGCTTTTTCGTTATTGTCTGAACATATAACAATAATAAAAACAACTACTTACTGCATTCAACGCATTTATATTGCACTTCTACTCGTTGCAGGAACAGAAGAACAGACAACTAGTAACTAGTTCGTTTTGTTTCTAGTATTTACGTGTCGCCAATTACTGAGTCACTGAGACAAGTGGCGACGTAACAAGATTAGTAGAAAAAAAAACCAATATTCATTTTTTATAATTGTTTTAATTATTTATTAATTTAATACTTTAATTCAATTATTTGAAGTAATTTTAATTTAATTATTTAAAAATTTTGCGGCACCCGCTTTGAGAACCACTGAGTTAACTGTATAGCCACTATGTATGTTAGGGGGGCATAAGAATTTCAGAAAGACTTAGGTGGGGCATAGCACAAAAAAGGTTGGGAAACACTGATGTAGTGGGTGTGGTCCTATAAGCCTTACAAATGTGAAGAGCTGCAATCCTTTGAACAGAACAGTTTTTTACAGTTATGGACTTTGTCGGCCACATGGCCCCAGGCCTGTACGGCATAGAGGAGTGCTGGCTGAATTGCATCCCTGTAAATAAGCTTAGTAGCATTAGGGCAAGGCCCCATGTGTTCCTAGTAATACTAAAGAGGGCATTGGCGGTCTTTTTAGCTTTGTCCGTGATGTATTTGACATGGGGTGTGAAGTTAAGTCTCTCATCAAGAATAACACTTAAATATTTAATTTTCGTTGTTTGCTTAATACTGTGAGCACCTATTTGAAGGGTAAGCTTCTTGACAAGTGGTGCATTCCTATCAACTATCATGCTTTTGCATTTGTCTGTGTTAATAAGTTGCCTATGATTAATGCTCTACTGGTGAATGTTATTGAGAATGTTGTTGTACAAGTCCTGTAAGCATTCACTGTTCCTGTGTGAAGCTAGGATAATTTTTTTGTCCACATAGTCCTGTTTGTGGCAGCCAGGAGGCAGGGTGTTGTTTACGTGTAGGATAGCATTATAAGCTATGTTCCAAAGACCAGGACCAGATCTGGATCCCTGAGGACAGCCCCTTACAAACCGTTCTTCATTCCACCGTGCTCGCACGATCCTCCAAAGTACAAACCAGCCGCCTTTGGGGCCTTAGTTCCACAGAACATTTCGCCCACCATTCTAACAATACCCTTAGACAAAAAGAGCTCGGATATGGACACAAACTTATCATCACATTCATAAAATAGTTTGATGGGCCTACAGCAACAAGCGATGAGGACACCAAGCTCATTCGAGCCATTACACATAATCAGCAATTAAGTGGTAGCTTCAAGGAGATCGGATGGCAATCTGACATCTGAATTGCATACAAGAGATCTCTGGCATTCTTTTCATTACTTAGGAACGACAAGGACTCTTCGATGAAAAGGCTCTGCAGTGAGTATACATGGTTCCTTTGTATGACCATAGGCTCGATTGACAATATGAACACATGTGGGTGCTACCTTTAGACCCCTTGAGATCAATGTTCCTTCTAATTTTTTTGTAGATGAACAGAACATATGCTTCTCTGAACAAAAAAAAATTTTTCTGAGCAGATTCTGAGCAAAAAATTTTTTGGAGCATATATATATATATACAGTAGAGCGTCGATTTTCCGAAAGTCAATCATCCGAAAGAATTCCAGTCGGCAATTTCGCCAGTGCTGTGGCGCTATATTCTTTGGCTATGTCTTGGGCTACTCAAATATTTTACGTTTTTGATACTAAATTAACATCTGAAGTATGTTTTTTTATTGTTTTTATATTTTTCAATATATTTATTTTGTTTGTACAAAATAAAAAAATAATTTTTAACAATACAATAGTCTTTGTTAGGCTTAACATCGACGAAAATTCAACGCGAAGCGACACGCAACGGAGAAAAATTTCAACANTTCCGTATTGCCAAAATGTTTGGATATGGACACAAACTTATCATCACATTCATAAAGTATTTTGATGGGCCTACAGCAACAAGTGATGAGGACACCAAGCTCATTTGAACCATTATGCATAATCAGCAATTAAGTGCTATCTTCAAGGAGATCGGCTGGCAATCTGACATCTGAATTGCATACAAGAGATCTCTGGCATTCTTTTCATTACTTAGGAATGACAAGGACTCTCCCGATGAAAAGGCTTTGCCGGGAGTATACATGGTTCCATTGTACGACCATAGGCTCAATTGACAATATGAATACATAGGTGAACCTTGACCCAACTCAATTGACAATATGAACCTTTAGACTCCTCGAGATGAGGCTCAATGAACACTGGGACTCGATTACTGAAAGAACGGGAGTCATGGCCTTGGCAGCCTATGCATTGAACAAAGACATGGAAGTTTATTTTGATAGAGTTCATCTTCTACATCAAAACGCATTACCATTGTGTCTAAAATATGTTGAGATTATTGAGACATATGGTGTCATCTGTAAAGGAATGACTATTGATAGCAGGGACACTGCTCCTATGTTGCATGCTCGGGGGCAGTATTCGAATGTCTTTAGCAACAATGTTGACTTTTATAATTACTTCGGTCTTAATACATTTATTGTTTTTATGCTATAAATAACAAATAATAACAAATAACAAAAATTTTTTTTATTTCTTCTGTTTTAATTTATAATATACTCCCGCACATGTGAAATTCTTACACAATGAAAATTTTTAAATGTATGTTGTTGTTTTATTTTCTGTTCTACCAATAGAACCCAAATATGGTCTTTATAAATGTCAAAAATGTTTGTTTTTTAATAAATGTTTTTGTTCTCTTAACTGGATTACTGTTTTGAAGCATTCTTATATTTTACATGGCATTACAAAAATTTGCCTTTAGATAGGAAACCAAACACCAAATTATAATATAATAGTGTGTTTGGTTTCTTCATATAAATTAGTCCATAGATTAATAAGTGACGATATTAATTATTAATCCACGGACTAAATTATTGGTATTAAAATAATGATTATTTTATTTCAAACTGGTCTTAATATCAGAAATAATCCCTAAAGAGGGGAAAATCAGTTCCCACTATAAATTTAAATTTTATATAATAGAGATCAGTCCCGTATTATACTAGAAAAACATTCGAAGATCAATCCAATAAAAGTCAAAATTATAAAAGAACACTTACTTTGAAATTCTTGGCATGACGATTATATCTGAAACATAAAATATAAAGAATTTAATAATGTCAATATTTAGAGAATGAAAAACAATACTATTAAAGTTAGCACAAATTTAGTCTGTTTTGATTCCTAGCGCACGAAAAATCGAAACGGTTCCAGAAACGTTAACGGGAACCATGTCAGACAAACACTACACCATTTAATTCTACGAAAACACAAACAAACAGAATTTAAATGTTGTACGGACATTTGAAAACACAATATGAAAATTACAATAATTTACAATAAAATAAATTATTGTAAATTTCATATCGGTAAAAAAGGGACAACATCCGAAAACTCCATTCACAAAACATGGAAACTCGCAGAACTACCACTTTGGAACTTTTTTTTTTAATACTCTTTCTGCCCTGTGGGCACTAAGAGGGCCTCTTATAGAGGCCCATTATGGGTTTCTGCCAGGCCCACAATGGGGCAACTGGGTGGTGAGGAATGGGGCCCGACATATCCGAACAGGCCACCCCTGAAAATTCCTGGGGATTCCTTGACCCGTCCGGATTTGATCCCAGATCCCCCAGAGTGGTAGGCTGCCACCTTGACTGCTCGGCCATCCAGTCCACTTTGGAACTATAAATTAAATTTAGTTTGTTTTTAAAACCAGAATAATTAATTAATTTGTAGTTTACAATTTTATTATTCTTATTTTCTTTTTAGCACCCGCTAGTTCGATTAGCTACGAGAAGGGAAATATGCACAACTTAAACTGGTGACACTCAAACTTTTTTGGATCCCCCCTGGGTTGATAACATTAGTAGTAACTAGAGTTTCTCTAACGGGATCCTGGCTGTTTTTTTAACCCAGAAAATCCAGCAAATTTCTTAAAAGTTCATTTTTTTCTTATTTTGTGTTAAGGTTGAGGAAATTTTGCTAATAGAAAGCATAATTAACTCATTAACTGTCAGAATACACTTGTATTTATTAATTTTAAGCCTGTTAATTTTATTTTTATTTTTTATATTTTTGTTTGCTTGTCATGACATATCACAGATGGTTAATAATCAATATGTAGCCTATTTGTGGCAGCACTCTGAAAATTATTTACTTTTCAGTGCTTGTAATATATTGAATAATTGCACCGATGCTGTATTAATTTTTAACCATGTTCAGTAGCTTGAAAACTGCATTATGCCAGATTGTGCAGAAGGATACAAATGAGTATGAAGTTTTCCTTCATAAACCCGATTATTAAACCCAAACGAACTGCCAAATTATCGGACCATAAGCTTGATGCTGCTATTAAAGCAGCCAATGTAGACAAATCAAGAATACTAGACAGCAAAAGAAGTACTACAACCATATAACATCTGTCTTGCATTAATTAAAAAGGATTCCACCTCATCAATTGAATTGTAAAGGGCATTCCCGATAGCAGAAATTTTTATAACTAAAATAAGAACCAGATCAAGTGATCGGAGTATTGACCATCTTTGCTTTTTAAAATCTTATTATAAAAATTTACAATAATCTTTTGTATTATGTTTAATTTACAAAAATGAAAATTACCTTCTAAATTAGAAGTTTGATCTAATATTTTTCTTTAAATTTTCAACTCATTTCAAAGGCTGTTTTTTTGTAAGCACTTTCCAACAAACTTTAATAAATTTTCTCTATTTCTGAAAATTTCTATGTAATTCAAAGGTAATTTTTAATACATATTTTACACAGCATTATTATTATTTTGGAGGTTGCAGAACATATTAAATTACTTAAAAAAATGAAAAATAACTATATCATCCGATTTGGAGATTCATTTTATATCTTAAAAATAATTAATTATATCCCAGGAAACAGTTCACTTTTTTTCCCAAAATCCCGGGACAAGCAAAGAAAACCAGGAAATAGTAGTAACGACACCCGTTCCGTGTACAGGGACCCTTGCCGGTGCTTTTTTAGCCCACCACTATAAAGCAAAACTAAATAACCAAAATTGAGCCCACCAGTGGCCAAGAGGTCTTCGTACCCTGAACGCTGGGAGTTTGGTCATGGGTTTGCACCTCACTCAGACAGGCTGACCATGTGGAGTTTTTTGAGTTTTCTCCACGTCTATAACGACTAAATAAGGGCGTTTTCCTTAAAAAGACCTCCCGGAAGGCAGCCCCCTAGGCAGATCGCCCAAGTGTTGCATTGCCATAACTTAACAAACAACAACAAATAACCGAAACGAATATTTGTCCGTTTGCCTCCAAAAACGCCCCCCTGGAGTGGAGACGATATCGCTCCCTTTGAGAAGCACTGACGTAAATAATAAGAAACCGGAGAAGTGACGTCGAAAGACGATTGAATTGTTGTGTTTGACAGAAAACGAACTTTCGATATGAAATTATTTAAACTAATGTTTTTGAATTTATTTAATTATTTAAAACACTAAATTATTCATAATAATCTTTCGTTTCGGAACTGCCGTCCGTTAAAAATAAATTAATTTTCAAAGAGAAAATGCACGTTTTTAATAGTAAATAAATAGAGAGGTTGAGGCGCACGTTTTAAACGTGTAAACGTGTATGTGTGACGTTCGGCGCCGCTTTCCCGTAAGCCTAAAAGTTTGACAATGGTGTTTGGATAGTCGGTGGAATCACGCTCGACATTCCAAACACCATCGTCAAACTTTTAGGCTTACGGGAAAGCGGCGCCGAACGTCACACGTACACGTTTACACGTTTAAAACGTGCGCCTCAACCTCTCTATTAAAGGATGCAAATCGTAGAGGGCGTGCTTAGTCTTTCAATATGGCGGCGATTCCGATACGTTCTTGTCACTTTTGTCTAGAGTTCGAGAAAATTCCGTCATTTCTGATTTATTTTAAATCTAGCGATCTATAACAGAACCCAATGCTCGTAAACCAGCATAAATCTACTTATATTATTTTTAGTTTAAGCGAGTTTTTAGACGAAAATTGACATTTGTCTGGAAAAAGATTGACCAGTTAACTTTACTGCTGTTAAATTAATATATTATAAAACGAAGAACGTGAAACAATATACTAAGCTAAACTAGACCGTCATGGTTTAATTTATTAGAACCAATCGAGTTTTTATTACTAATAATCTAAAATTTTCAATAAACGAGATCCACTCACCACACGTGCAAAGGACGAAAATAATGTATAATTCCTTTAATCGACATCAGATGGCGTAATCGAGCAACGAAAATTTGTTTCCTCCGATTGTAAATTTAAATAAGTAAAAATTTGATAGCCAAAGGTATATATAATTAAAGGCTTTAACTAAATATGTTTCAAAATAAAAAAAGCTATGGCAATGGTTCTTATAATAAAATACGAAGATAAATTCATTTAGTTTTGAAATGCAAAATTAGAGAAGAAATGTGGAGATATTTGTTAAAATAAGAATATAATTAATTTTCAATATCCGCATGCACTTTTACATTACACAAATTGCAAACAGCAGCTCGGATTAAACATTTTTATAAATTAAAATTACATGAAGAGAAAATAAACCATTCTCACAAACTTTACATTTTATGTAAAGTAAACCTTCAAAAATATTTGCAAGTGATAACAATTTTCTTCATTTAGGAACTTATGCATATAAACTAAATTATTTTTATCGAGAATTAAATAAATATATTTATAAAAATTTATTAAACAGTAGACAAAAAACAGAAATATCTACTTCAACTTTATTAAGTTATTTTATAATAAAACTAGCTGCAAGGACCCGCTTCGCTGGGTTTTTATTTGTGGGCAAAAAGTAACGATAGTGAAGATTAAGATAATTACATTATAGCCAATCTTACCCGTTTTCACAAAATGCAAGAATTAGGTCCCCCGTTTCCAGACTAATTAGAGACCTGATCCCGATTATATTTCTGAACGTCTCCTGTTCACGTCCAGTCAAACGAACTGTTTTCAACGTTTCTGGAACGTTTACAATCGTTCTATAATCGAACTAATATTCGAATCTTATGTTCGAATTCAAATTCGAATATTGTTCGAATTAAATTCGAACATAAAATTCGAAATAGAAAACCACTTTCAGCCCCATATCTCCCGCACCCTTATAGCTATCGAGACGCAACCACCATAGTGCACAAATGGAGACTTGGGGCTACTACCACATACAAACACCATTCACGTGCGATGTGTAGTTTTGGCTGAAAAGTGAAATGTAGGGACACACACGTCCATTTATATATATATAGATGAGTATTAAGAAACAATATGCAATTTTACTGTTATTACGAAATATTAATTTTAAATGAATAAAAGTTTTCATTTCAATTACTGTATTTTAAATTTTAAAGCGTGTTTTCAATCCACAAACAACATATAACATTTATTATGCTTAATACATCTTTATTCTAATGCTTCTGTTATTCTGTTTAATAAGTTATATAATGTTGTTATACAACATGTCAGAAAACTAAAACATTACCACAGTCTATAGCAGGGGTGGCCAACCTTTTGCATACCATGCGCCAATTTTTTGATAGACGAGTTCAGATGCGCAGTGGCATACCGTGAGTGTTAGCAGCCCGGAGTGGAGAAAAATTTCGGCCACCCCTNTAACAACAAAATATTTAAATTTAATAAAAAGTAAAATACATCTGGATACGAGTCCAATTTTGCTTGCCATGTCCAATCGTGTTGGGATTGTCACCTGTGAACATTTTAAACTGTTTTACATATTTGTGCAGAGGCATAGCCTTTAAAAAAATGTTGTCTCTGCAATGGAAATAGTTGTAATAGTTGTTCCTGGTGATTGGACATGGCAAGCAAAATTGGGCTCGTATCCAGATGTATTTTACTTTTTATTAAATTGTAAATCTGCCAGTCCTTTTCTACAATAAAATATTTAAATCTCTATTAGTAACCCAATACTGTATTTTCCAATTTTACTAAAACTGTTACCTCAGAAAATGCAACATGTTCACGCTGAATGATAGNGTATTAAATATTAAAGCAGTTTAGATACTGGATTTTTGATTTAATCTAACAACAAAATATTTAAATTTAATAAAAAGTAAAATACATCTGGATACAAGTCCAACTTTGCTTGCCATGTCCAATCGTGTTGGGATTGTCACCTGTGAACATTTTAAACTGTTTTACGTATTTGTGCAGAGGCATAGCCTCTAAAAAAAGGTTGTCTCTGCAATGGAAATAGTTGTAATAGTTGTTCCTGGTGATTCGACATGGCAAGCAAAATTGGACTCGTATCCAGATGTATTTTACTTTTTATTAAATTGTAAATCTGCCAGTCCTTTTCTACAATAAAATATTTAAATCTCTATTAGTAACCCAATACTGTATTTTCCAATTTTACTAAAACTGTTACCTCAGAAAATGCAACATGTTCACGCTGAATGATAGTACATGCAGCAAATAGCATTATTTGTATCAAAATATAAATTTATAAAAGCAATGATAATTATAAAACATATACTAAATTTTAGTTGAATTCTTATTGAATATATTCAAGCAATATTGAAGCCATTTAGCTCTCCTGGATTTGTCAGCGAGAAAACGAAACAATTTTACACCTTTGGCTGTCGAATTTTTACAATTCAGTACTGAACACCAAACCATTTTAAAGGTCCGAATAAATGAAAATGCGAGGGGGCTAAATCTGGACTATACTCCACACGTCAAACCAAACTGTGGTTGGCACAGCGGAATTCGAAGATCATGCAACATCCTCCTTATAGTCCCTCGGATTTTCATTTATTCGGACCTTTAAAGAAATTTTTGGCGGGAAAACGCTTTGCAGATCAAGAGGAATTGGAAGACACCGTTCTGGCTACTTCAAGCAACAGTACCGTGAAGGAATGTTCAAACTAGTTTCACACTTGAATAAATGTCTCGACGTTTAAGTCGATGATGTAGAGAAATAAACAAAAGTAGGCCTATGTAGTTTTTTGTGGAATGTATTATTTTCTTTATTTATAAATGTCAGTGTAATTTTGGCCTGTACCTTTAATATATCAGACGCCCCTCGTGTAATAAATTGCTTTGTGTCAATAAATAATTTATGAAAAATACAATATCTCTTTTTACTTTTTTTAATCATTAAAGTTTAAGTGTGCCGCGGAAATTTAATTATAGGTTCGCGTGTGCCGTGAGATGAAAAAGATCGAAAAACACTGCCCTTAATATACCCAGCTATTTAAAAATCCAATTTTGGAAGAATTTGCGGTGTCGATTTCTGCCATCATTTATTTAGGACTCGAGTACATAGACACACAAAGTATATACGCAAACTCTTATCGACTTTGCACACTCTTACTTACAACAGAAATTATCCACTTGTCAGAATGACTAAAAAATAACTGTCGAATTTTAATTACATAATATGGAAGTGTCTAATAATAATATTTATATTTATTTATTTATTTAAGCTGAAATAAACGTTTATATTTATTTAAACGTTTATTTCAGCTTTCCCTCTTTTGTATCTTAAATACAGTTGAGTAGTAGAGTCCTTATTATCCGAGATAATTTGGATTGACGCTGCTCCGAACACCTGTCTTGGATGCAACTGGGAGGTATTATGTCCCGATGCTTTGGATGCTCAACTCGGATGGGACGAACAGCCGCGACCATTTTGTGTTTTGAAATTGCAGAATATCTATCTCGCAAGGGTTTAGGAGATATACTCGCAAGCTTAAAGGATTACCAGTATTTCATCGACTACTCTGGTGTTATTTCGCTTCGACGTCTTTTACAACAAAAAACCTACGCATTTTTCTTTAAACTCAAATGAATTCAAAAGCAGGTATTGAGCTATAGAATATTCCTTAGAAATATTATTAATAAATAATAATTATTTTTGTTATGTTTTAGATTTTAAAATTACAGTAATCTTCTCAACAGATGGTGCCTGTTATATTACTCGATGGCACTCTTTTAGGTCCGGCGCAGGCCCACTAGTGGCCAAGCGGTCTTCGTCCGTGAACACTGGAACACTGTTCGGTAGTTGGTTCGCGCTGTTGATCGGACGGGCTGGCTACGTGTAGTTTTCCCGGGTTTTATCCATGTCTGTAACCCTAAATAGGGACCAGTTTCCCTTAAAAAGTCCTCCCGGAAGACATCCACCTAGGCAGATCGCCCAAGTATTGCGTTGCCATAACTAAACAAACAAAACCCAGAAAACACCACGACAACAAAAGAAAACGGTATTTCGACTTTCTGAGGATGTTCGTCGATATATCTGAAAAAATTAATATTAGGGAAGAAAGCTTTTCATGTCACTAGTCTCGAGACTTTAGCTCGAACTGAAGGTTTGAGGTTTTGTAAGCCCGCAAGCCAGGCGCGAACCCAAGATCGGTGATTCAGTTCGGTGGGTTTTATCCACTCGGCCACTGGTGGGCAAAATATATATTAGGATCCATCGCAAGAAAGTAATGGTTATCCTATCCTAGTTAATAATAATAAAACATATAGAAGATGAAGGGTTGAGGTGGGGAAAGTGTTAGAAAATGAAAGAAGAATTAAACCAATGACATTTATAAAATAATACGACCACATAAGTTTCATAAAATTGAGAGAAATGACCTGGATTGGGAAAAGGATTTGGATTAATATACATACTTTGTCAGCTGAATGGCGGGAAACAGCGTGAAAAATACTAATGAAGGTGATTATTATTAAAAACTATCTAACAAAATATTTTCGATGTAAATATGTGAAATGCACACGCAGCGACTAGGAAGAAACAATATAACATTTATGTTTCGAATGTGAAAATGCGGTACAAGTCTGGTCATGGGTCACTAAAAAAATACAGTATTATATCAAGACGGCAAAACGTAAAATACCAGAGTGAATGTAACATAATAAAAAAAAAAGTAACCTTACATACCAAAAATATGAAGAGCAAGTAAATACGAACCCGTTACGAGAATGTGTGGGAAATTATGGGCCAAGAAGAGAAAGGTATGTGATCATTTTTTAGGGTTCTAAATTTTAGTCATGTTTTATTGTATATTCACGCGTTATAATGCATAGAGTAAGTTTGTTTTAGTTTTTAGTATTTTACTTATTTATGGTATTGATTTTTAAGGTTTTGTAATTTTTATTTTTGTTTTTTTTTTTGTAGCTTTTTAGAGGTCCCCTGCTGCTCACGATATACGTCTCCGTAAATTCGGAAATCTGTAAAATGTAAAAATGCTAATTAGAAGATACCGCTGGGTTGAATACATTTATACCATTGTGCCAGCAATGGTATAAATGTATT